GAGAAGGAATGAACAAAAGGGCGAATAAGCTGATTTCTGAGTGGGAAAACTGTATCTGAACTATATCTGTTCTTATTTTCTTCTTTTTTTTTTTTTTTAAACATTTTTTTATTTTTTATTTTTTTTAAGAGGCATGTATTTTTATTTATTTATGATTTTTATTTACTTGTTTGCTTGTTTTGTTTATACATGCACTGGGTACAGTAAGAAGCGCGGGAGGGTGAGAGAATTCACCAGAGCCAGAGCGGGGAGCAGAGCAGGCAGAAGGACCGAAGTACACTGCTGAGGGGAGCAGCGGGCGGCAGGAGAGGTCTGCGCGCCATGTGGGACCCTCCTCTGGTGGCCGGGGAGCAGCCGGGGATCGAACCGGCGCCACAGAGGCCGTGGGCAGCTTCGCAACCCAGTGCTCAACCGCTGCGCCACCGGGGAGGCCCTTATTTTCTTCTTTTTTGCTTAGTCTTGCTTTCTGAATATTCTATAAAGCACATGTATTGTTTGTAAGGTACAAAACTAAAATGGGTCTTCATAGTCAGCTCAACTCACTACCTCATCACATCTACATGACTTATAAGCGCTTTCTGCTACAATCAGAGAGACCACGTGTCCAGCCAGTCTGGCAAATGGCTCCTTTCCCATGGCCTTTGCCAGCTGAGCCCTGGCTCCTCCTGACTCCCTGACTGTGTCAGGGGAACAGGAGGCCTTTCAGCGAAGCGAAGCCCCCGTCTCCTCCCACCATCTCTTCACTCTCCCACCTTTCTGTGCCCTTGGTGGGCTATTCTACTTCCTCCTCAATTAATACCACCAGTGAGATGACAACCGGAGTAATTAATATTGACAGAGCATTGACTATGTCCTCGGCACTGCAGACGTGCTTCTTTAGTCCTCCTAACCACCACATTATAGCAGAAGGCTGACCAGGTCATTTGGCTGGTATCTGAACCAGGCCAGCTGATGCCTTTAACCACTATGTCAACTGTGCCTGCTGCATGCAGAACGGCCCCAAAGATCTAATGTATGTCCACAGGGGGGTCACATGCTTGGTGCCAATTGCGGGCTGGCACTGTGGGTCATGTGGAACTGAGTACCTACTGTGTGCAAGCTGGGGCATGCACTAGAAATTCGAAACAGAAAGCACAATGGTACCCTAAGAGCTAGAAAGTAAAAATAATGACATAAAAAGTAATGATGATGGCAGCCAGTGTGCATCAGGGGACTGCTCTCTTTTCAAATGCACTGTTGCAGTTAACCATGCAATCACCCTCAGAGACAGGCACTGTCAAGACCAGAAAACTGGAGCACAGAGGGAGGGATATAATTGCCCACACAGCGAATGAGAGGCAGAGTTGGGATGTGACTCCCGAGCTTTTCTGATTCAGTGTCCTGGCTGTTGAAACAAAGGGATCACACCCATCTAGGGCAGGTGGCTGAACCCTAGATGAAACTCCACCTGAAGGGAACATCAAAAGCAAAGACTTCCAGGGTGGGAGTGTCACATGGTATCAGGCAGCAGGTGCACATAGGAGGGTGTGGAAGCTACTGGGCAGGAGATGTGGTGGGATGAACTGATGAGAGGCTGACCAGACAGCCTGTGCTAAACCCAAAGGGCAGAGGGGCGCCAGAGAAAACTCATGAGCAGTGGAGGGATTTGATTACACATGTGCGTTAGGCAGTTCCTCCAACAATGGGTAGTATGGGGTAGAAGAGACATAAGACAAGAGAGAGTTATAAGAGATGTGCAACAGAGGACAGAGGGGGGTGATCCTGAGGGGCACCTGTTTTGGGCTTGCTCCTCATCCTGAAGCAGGTCTTCTCCCCTTAGGAAGCTGCCATCCTCATGGTCTCCTGGTCTGGGTGGGGCTGCTCCGCTCCCACTCCAGGGTGGCCCACCAGAGTCCCAAGGGTTGGTTCAGGGCAGGCACAGGACAAAGCAAGGAAGGTCTGTCATTGTGGGGATGCACGCTACAGTCACCAGCCAGGGGCTCTCCTCACCCCTCCCCATCGGGTCAGCTCCGCCTCTTGCCTGGAAACTGGGTGGTTGGCAACCTTCTGTACCACCACTTAGGGAGAACTTGACCTCTTGCCCCAAGACAGGCGAGAAAGGAGGAAGGAGGGGGGGTGGAAGAGGGTGTAACTGAGTTCCTGCCCTGGACTTTGCTACCAGGGCAGATACAGGTTGGCTTTTTGCTGCAGCTAATCTACATCTACATCTGGCTTTTCTTCCACACCTGAGATTGCTGGCCAGCCATATGTACTAACAGCAGGACCTGAAGCAAGATTGGAGTCCAGAAGGAGGGCCAAGTGAGTCCAGCACCAAAAGAGCCAGTGGGGGGCATGAGCACTCCAAACCCAAAGAAACAGGAAGAGGAGCATCCAGAGACCTTCAAATAGAACGTTCTTCCAGAAAATAGCTGCTGTGGACTAGGGGAGGCCAGCCAGGGGCAGAGGACAGCTGACGGGGGAGGTGGGATCAGGTAGACTCCTTTCTGGAAAACTCTGAGGGAAGGATGGAAGAAGGAAGACTACAGATGAGGGAAGTTGAGAGAGAAAGGCATGTGCTTCATGAGAAAATACTGAAGAGGGAAAGAAAGAAAGCCCAAAGGACAGGCTCACATACACCCAGCCCCTCTGGCCCGCCCCCAGCCCATGGAGAACACCAAGTGCTGCTTCACCACCAAGTCCCCTGCACACCTGTGAGAAGGTGTTTGGAAATGGGAAGCCTGGGCCTGGATGGGAGCCTTTCTTATACATAGGGCCCTCAGGCCAGTTGGACGCCTAACCGCAAGAAGCCCTCCTTGCCTCACGCAAGCAAGAAACATGTCACTTGTAAGTTGCAAGCAACCCCACAAGCCCAAGCCAGAACCAGCTACATTGCTGAAGAAGCCACATGGTCTGGAGACGAGAATCAAAACCACTTCCTTAGAGCAAAGAGGCCAAGGGCATGAGTCTCAGAGCCAGCCTTCTTGGGAGAAAGCCCTAGTTCTGCTGTATGACCTTGGGCTGTGTGACCTTGGGCAAGTCACACCACCTCTCTGGGCCTTGGTTTACTCAAGTATCAAAGGAGAACAATCTCTGAACCAGAGACACAGCAGGTCAAGTGTGGTGACAGACATATTGAAAGATACTAATCGAAGTTCGATCCCTTTTCGCTGGGTCATGAGGACAGGTGGCGGGGTTTAACACGTTTTTCAAAGAAGAACAAGAGCAGACAGTGCCACCAAAAGTCGCTGATGCATTTGTCCAACAGATGGCCGGGAAGGAAGGCAGACTTCCAGCTGAAGCAGACGGAGCCCTCAGCTCCCACTCATATCCCACAGCCCATTCATAAGATCAACAAGCAGCAGGGAAAGCATTTTAAGCTCCCCCTCCCCTGCTGGCACCCCCAGCTCCCATCCCAGTTGTTGGGGGCAGGGTCAGAGGAGAAAACCCCGCAAAGCCCAAGGGAGGAAGGAAGTGCTCGCTAACCGCATGGCTCCCAAGCCCTTCCAGGCTGGCCCAGCGGCCGGGAGCATCTGTTAGGAATCTATCCACAGGATGTTCTCTTTCTTCCTGGGGTCACCTTCTCCACTTGGTGTAGAGAACAATAGCTTCAGAAGCAGAACCGGGTGATAGGGGGTGGAGTGATAGATGGCAGGCGGGAGCAGAGAAACTTTGGGTTTACTGTCCCAGAGTTAGGAAGGAGGGAAGCTGGCCCAGGAGACAAAGTCTCAGCAGCTTGGAGACACAAAATACAGCTGAAGTTCCTAATCACACACTAAATAGGGGAAAGCAGGGATCAAGAGTTTGTACTTACTCCACTTGCAAAAGCATCCACCCCAGTGGCTGGTGGATAGAGGTCATGGACAGATAGGATTTCTGAGTTCAAATCCTGGCCCCACTAACTCTCCACAAATGCCCTCTCTGTACCTTATTAAATATCGGTTGTTACAGTACTTTGTGCTTCCGCTATTTTAAACCAATCCTTTGGAAAGCAATGAGTGACCTCTAACAGGCGGCTCTCAGGAAGATGTTTAAGTAGGGAGAACATTTAAAACAGAACACCTTAGTACCCTCCAGCCCACAGCAGACATTTTGTAAATATTCATTGAATTCAACTAAATGCAAAATATCACTTGATTAAGAAAGCCATTAAGGAAAGGAACAGTCACATGATGTTCATGTGTACAGCACAATGTGTGTACAGCACAATCCTGTACTTTTTCATTTCTTTCACAAATGACCATGCAGCTTGCCTCAGCGTTTTACACTCACTTATTCTAACAACAGCTCTCTCAGGTTATGGGGTGAGGAAATCAGGCCCTGAGAGGTTAAGCAACTTGTCCCAAAACACACAGGTAGGAAGTGGCTACTTCTGGGATTCAAACTCACCCAATCCCCGCCCTAACTGCCAGGCTGTGCTGCCTTTGTCTGAATGTATGTTTCCAAGCTGGAGATCAGAGATGGGGAGAGTCCATTCTCCAGTCTCAGCTTGAAAGGGTCCATTACCAATGATGCTGAGCCTTTACTTCTACTGTGGGCCCAACCAGGGTGGGACACAGGTCAATGGTTCCACACTCCCTGGGGAAGTGCCCAGAGTGCACATCATAAGGATGTGGCTTGTGACTTCTCGTTTCTATATACACCTGTGTAACCACCTCTCAGATCAAAATATGGGGCATTTCCAGCTGCCTTCCCTGCCCTAGCTTTCTGTGCGCCCCTCCAGCCAGCAGCGATCTACCCCAGAACAGACGGCTATTCTGACCGCTCACGCTACAGATTAGTTGTGCATTTTCTGCAACTGTCCCTCCTGGAGAGTACTGTGCAGCAAGAAGGCCAGGCGGTTACCTCCGGTGGCTCTGTAAATCCAAAGTCTCTCTTAAGAGGCTTGGAACCGCTCAAATCTGATTGCCTCCGTCGCTCAGCGCCAAAGGCACACACAGGGTGTCCGCGGGTGGCTCCCGGGGATGTTGCCAATTTCCCCCAAAGATCAATAGTAAGTCCTCCCCGAAGGCGTGTCTCCCTACCTGTGCACTGCTGGATGAAGTCCTGGTATTCCGCTCCCTGTTCGCCGGGGACGATGATGGAGCCATCATATTTAAAAGTCACCCTTTGGGTTGAGAGAAGAAAAACACACACACACACACACACACACATCAGCGTTGGCAGCTGCCCGGGGCAGGACCATCTAAGAGATGCTCTGGCTGTCCTGGGTTAAGGATGCAGACGACAGCAAGGAAGGGCCCTTATCCTGCCGATTTGGATGACGGCTCGGCGCCCCGGGCCCCTCGCGAGCTCGGGGACAGGGGCTTGGAGAGCAGTGGGAAGCTCCTCACCAGATGACGGCCGAGCCGTCGTCGCGCACCAGGTTGTACGCCGTCCTGCAAGCCTCTTTGTCGATCTTGGTGGCCATCGCCTCCGGGCCTCAGCGAGGACACGCTGCCCGCAGCGACCGTGCACGCCCCGGGCCGGCCGCAAGGACTGGAGCGCGGCGAGGACGCGCCGAGGGCAGGCGGGCAGGCGACGGCGACCGCGGCTGCAGCGAAGCAGAGACGCGCGCTCCAAGCACCCGGCGCAGCGGAGGCTCCCAGGGCGCACCGAGAGCGCGCGCGGCCCGGGCCGCGACGCCCCGCCCCCCAACGGCCATTGGTCCCCCGGGACGTGGCCCTGCCCATCGTGCATTGCCATTGGCCGCTGGGCCGCGGGGCGGGACATCTTCACTTGCCGTCGGCCAATCCCCGCTCGGATGGGTTGCGCAACTCCACGGTGGGGGCAGGAGAGGGATTTTTCGCCTTGTTCCACCTCTTTTTCTTGTCCACCCTCCCCCCTCCCTCCTCTCTGCTCCCTCAGTCGCTTCCTTCTCCCCTCCCCCTCCTGTCCTTCCACCCCTCTCCTGGTTCTCCCTTTTCTCTAAGCCCTTATCCCTCTCCCTTCTTGCTCCACCCGTCTTACACTCTGCCTTTCTCCACCACCCTTTTCAGTACCCCCACCCCAGCTCCTTCCTTGCTACGCCCTCTCGCCCTTCCCTTACTTTCTCCTTCCCCTTCCCTTTTCTCGGCCTCCTCTTCCCTTGCCCCCCACCCCAGGTGTCTGGGCTGTTCAAACTCCACAGCGCCCCAGGGGACCTCCAAGTGGAGAGCTTGACCTTTGGAGGTGCCCCCACCCCAATGTTTGCCTGGCGGCTGCTGGTTGAGGAGAAAGTGGAAGGAATTAAGCGTGTCAAATAGAAGGGGACAGAAAGTGGACCGCTTCCAGAGGCTGGTGGGATCACTGTTTACTTTGTATTCTGGTTATTTGCATTCAGGTCTTATCTCTCCCTTTGGGTTCTCAGAAGCAGGAGCTGACTCACTCCTGTCCATTCCTACACTGACTCATTCATTCATCCACTGCTTCCACAAAGACCAGTTACAGAGTCAGGGCAGGTAAAAATGCCAGACCCTGGAGAAAAGGCTTTTGAATTTCGACCTGTTTCTAACTTGGACTCTTGGGTAAGCTTCAAAAACTCCCTGAGATTACTGTTCTGGAGTGGTGTAATCATAGTATTGACATCGTAGTTTTCTTTTATGGTTTGATTGAAGTGATATGTGTAAACAAAAAATTAGACATTCAATAAAAATGTTTGTTAATAGGTAATTAAAATAATCCTAAATAGAAACCCAAAAGGTCAGGAACAATATCTAATTGATTATAAAATTCTTGGCAAATTAAAAAAAATCAGTCTGGGGATGGGTAAATGGGTGAATAGATGGGATCCCACTTTCAGAAAGAGTTTGAGCAGATATTGCTATAAATAAAAAGGTAAAAGTAAGAAATCTATTTGGAATATTATGTTAAAAGTGGCTTCCGTCCTGAATTTGACTCATGGCTAAACCTTCCTGAGGGTATAGTTTGGACACATTTCCCGTCTTACTGTTGTTCTCTTCTATTCCTTGTTGCTGTCGCCCTCTACTGGACTGAAATTGGAAAGATTGGGTATTAAACAGAACCCTCCTTTTGAGTAAGCTGAGATCAATTTGCCCAGCTAAGGCAGAGAAATAAACTGCACACCAAAAATGAACACTGTGTGTAAATACTTGTTTCGATTGAGATCCACACAATATGTGAAGCAGACTAATTCAACTCATGTTTCTTTAGAAGAAAAACCAAATGAAACAATTTGACATTTACTATGTGCTATGCACTGTGTCATAAATGGTGAGAAGGGTGTAAGTTCATTCATTCGTTCATTCATTCATTCACTCATTCATTTACTCATTCTCAGCATTAAGTCTATTGCTTGTCCAAAGGCCAGGGGGTGGGTTGGCAGGGAGTGTCACAAACTGACTTGCCTGTAGGGGGCAGACACACAATGTCAATGAGTCTGTAAGAAAAATATTTCTGAAAATGTGAATCTCTTCCAGGTGATTCATCTCAGAACTGACATCTAAAGTGGCCCCTGGTTCTCAGCTGTGCCAGAGTCACCATGGGGCAGAAACACGAGCATGACAGTGCCAAGACTTGCAGTGGTCTATGAATCTGGATCTTTTTGTGAAATCCTTTGATTCTTAAACTGAGGCAGTAAAAAGGCTACATGTCAGAGCTAACTAAAAAAAAAAATACCACAGAAAGAGAAAGCGCTGCCTGTGTCCAAATGTGAACCAGCCAGAGTCTTGAATGTCTAATTTTTTGTTTCCACAAAAAGCCAATTAGGCTTACAGCCTAATTGTGGGACAAGGAGTCCCACAAGGTCAGTGGATGGAATGCCCAGAGTGAAGAACATTCAGGCCTGTCTGAACCACAGCTTTGTCTCTGTCTTTCTGCACGTTTCTATTCTGCTGTCCTTAATGTATAAGTTTCATCTTCAGGTAATGCTGCCCCTCTGACTGTCACACCCTGCCCCAAATTCTACTTGGTTGGTCTGTCCTCAGCCCTCACGTCCTAGACCTCAGAGTGGACTTTTGAGCCCAGTGCCAGGCAAGGTAGGCAGTTATACTATATATATGAATGTATTATAATATGATATAGCATCAGTAAGTATCATTTGCATTATATAATAGCTCTAAGCAGTACTAATAATAGGACTAGTACTGGGCTGTGTTTTCCGCACCAGGCACAAAGCAAGTGCTTTCCTCTATTTCCCAGGTATTTCTCACATCAGCCTGAGGAGGCACTGTTGCAACCCCTCCCACCAACACCAGCATAGATGAGGGAACTGAGGCACAGAGAGGTGAAGCCATCTCCCTAGGGATGCACAGTTATTAAACTGTGGAAATACTATTTGTTTTTTATAAAGACTAAATTTTCAGTGCTGTTTATTACTCACCAGGAATTTCATTTGTAAAATTTATTTATTTCATTGAGTTAACTTTGGTGTACTGTCTGTGTTTTAGGGGTATAGATTCACACTTCTTCAACTGCATGTTGTCACACTGCAACCGCCACCAAAGCTACTATTTCCCTCCACCTCAGTCCTCTGGGCCCCCTCTGCCATTGGCTTACCACCCCACCTCTCTGGTAGCTTCAATTCTACAGTCAGTTTTCAAAGTTTTAGTTTTGTCTGTTTCTTTGTTTTGCTGCCTTGTAGTCCATATATGAATGAAGTCATCCAGTATTTGTCTTTCTCCTAACTTGTTTCACTTAAGTATAATCCCCTACAGATCCCTCCATGTCACAAATGGCAAAAGTTCATCTTTTTATAGCTGAGTAGTATTCCATTGTGTCTATAAACCACATCTTCTTAATCCACTCTTTTGCCCTCAGGTGTTCAGGTTGTTTCCATTACTCAGTTTCCATTACTCAGTTACTCAGTTAGGTAACTAGTGCATATACCCCTTAGGTTAGTTTTTGTGTATTCTTTGGGTAGATACCTAAGAGTTGAATTGTTGTTACATCTATTTTACATCTATGTTACATCTATTTTTAAAACTTTGAGATACCTCCATGCTATTTCTCAAAGGGTTTGGACCAACCTACATTACAGATATGAGGTACAGGCAGTCTGACCTTGGAGATCTGGCTGTCCCACGGAGAACTGGAGTTTGGAAACCTGACTGACCCAGGGTTGCCATGTGCTCTGAGACAATAGAAAGACCTGTGCCAGTGTTTTAACACCATTGTCTCTGCTCTGGCTTTATTTCTTTATTTATTTCTTACAGACTTGAAAGGTCAGTGACCTGGTTTCTAATTTCCCTTGGAGCTATGAATTTAAAAAAGGAAGAAAGAAATCCCACCTCCGCTGCAATTAGAGATGGGAATAAAACATAACCCTGAAACTTGCTGTTCTCGCAAGGTGGTTGTCATTCTGAAGCAGGTGCCTTCCACAGAAGGGATATTTATAGCAGATGATATTTATAGAATCTGCGCTGAGCTCACTGTCAAATCACTGAAAAGAAGCTCCCAGGGGCCTTTGGAAAAGGAAGACACTGAGCCACTGACTGCAGGAGTATAAAACAGCGCTCCTGAATGGTCTTCCTCGGGAACTATGAGTGGCTCAGAGAGAACTGTGCTCCGGGTCCAGAAATCCAGCAGTATGACATGACCTGGTGTTTTAACTGCTAGTGAATAAGGGCAGAGGGGGGACCAGAGCACGGTGGGGAGGGAGGGTGGGACAGCAGTGTGGTTCTAATAGTTAAGGGTATGGGCAGTTACTCACCAAATCCTGACTTTGCCATACCTTTCCTGAACCTCACTTTCCTCTTCTGTGAAATGGGCACCTTCCACAGAGGAATTACTTGAAGATCACACATGAAAAAATGCATGCAAAAGAATGTAACAACAGCTGGTATTTTAAGGGCCAGCCCCCCAAATCTGTGAGCAGTCTTAAACTCCTAACCTGAAGTAGCAGGCTGCATGCAAATCTACTGGGAAAATAAAAACTCTATCAGACAAGTACATAAGTAACAAGAATTGAAGGTAGGGTATTGGCTACACCAGGTCAGGAGAGCTGAGAAGCCCTGCAGATGGGTGAGGCACCCCAGAGATTAACCACAGCTCAGACCACATTCCATCAACCACATTCCATGGGCCACCAGCCCTGGAATGGAGGGACAAAGAAAAAAATAGACACCAGAGCCTGGGGTAGGGGTCACCCAGGGGAAGTTGGAGCTATTGAAGAATTGCTCAGAGAGAAGGATAAGTACCTTAGTCTTTTCCCACACCTCCCAGTCTCTCACCAGTGTCTCTCAGGGCCAGACCAGCGAACCCTGGGAAATACAGCCTGCAGGGAGTAGGGGGGAGGCTTACCTCCACCCCACCTCCACCCCCCGCCTTGTGATTTGGAGCAGAGGAGGGAGAAGGAGGCACAGATCCAATGGGTCAGGTTGGAGCAGCACTAATGCCCAGAAAAGGAAGAAAAGACATGCTCTCTCCTGAGCTGGTCAAAACACAGCTCAGGAATTGGGTTCTGAATTGGAAATCTACTTAAAAGAAGCAAACAGAAGGTAGTGCTCAGGGCTGGGAGGGGATGGGAAGCCAGAGTGTGCCTTATGCTGAATCAGAGAAGCCTTGTGGAGGACCTTTACTGTCTCTCCATCCGGAGGGACTCTCTGTGTGGCAGGCCTCAGTCTTCTTATATGAACCTCCCAGGAGCAGGTCAAAACCAGTGATGGGGAA